TGTGCTCTGTCAGTGTGGGAGGACAGCATGAGCTCAGAGAACATTTCATTGCGAGTGCATTTTTTTCGCCTTCTGATCTTTGCTAGCCTCTGGGAAGGAGAAGATCCTGTGATCCTTGAAACACAGGCAGCTGGTGGAGGGAAAAAAAGGGACAGTGGTATTTAAAAAACATTTTATAGAACAATGGGTACACTCTCTTTCTTTCACAGTAAACCTTGCTGTTAACATTACATACATAGCACATGTGCTTTCATTCCAAGGTCACATTTTGCCCCCCCCACCGCGTGGCTAGCCCCCTCATCCATCCCCCCTCCCCGTGGCTAACAGCGGGGAACATTTCTGTTCAGCCACAGGCAAACAGCACAGCAGGAACGGGCAGCTCTGAATGTCCCCTGAAGAAAAGCACCCTATTTCAACCAGGTGACCATGAATGATATCACTCTCCTGAAGATAATACAGAGAGATAAAGAACGGATGTTTGAACGCCAACAAACATACACTGCAATGCTTTGTTCTGCAATGATTCCCGAGTACATGTTACTGGCCTGGAGTGGTAAAGTGTCCTACCATGGTGGACGTAATAAGGCTGCCCTCCCCAGAAACCTTTTGCAAAGGCTTTGGGAGTACATCCAGGAGAGCCGTGAATGCCAGGGCAAATTAATCATTAAACATGCTTGCTTTTAAACCATGTATAGTATTTTAAAAGGTACACTCACCAGAGGTCCCGTCTGTGCCTGGCGGGTCCGGGAGGCAGCCTTGGGTGGGTTCAGGGGGTACTGGCTCCAGGTCCAAGGTGAGAAACAGTTCCTGGCTGTCGGGAAAACTGGTTTCTCCACATGCTTGCTGTGAGCTATCTACAGCCTCATCATCATCCTCTTCCTCGTCCCCAAAACCCGCTTCTGTGTTGTTTGACTCCTTAAATGGAGATGGAGACAACGCGACTGGGGTAGTGGTGGCTGAACCCCTAAAATGGCATGCAGCTCATCATAGAAGCGGCATGTTTTGGGCTCTGACCCAGAGCAGCCGTTTGCCTCTCTGGTTTTCTGGTAGGCTTGCCTCAGCTCCTTAAGTTTCACACGGCACTGCTTCGGGTCCCCGTTATGGCCTCTGTCCTTCATGCTTTGGGAGATTTTGACAAATGTTTTGGCATTTCGAAAACTGGAACCTAGTTCTGATAGCACAGATTCCTCTCCCCATACAGCGATCGGATCCCATACCTTCCATTCAATCCATGCTGGAGCTCTTTTGCGATTCTGGGACTCCATCATGGTCACCTCTGCTGATGAGCTCTGCACTCACCTGCAGCTTGCCACGCTGGCCAAACAGGAAATTGAAATTCAAAAGTTCGTGGGCCTTTTCTTGTCTACCTGGCCAGTGCATCTGAGTGGAGAGTGCTGTCCACAGCGGTCACAATGGAACACTCTGGGATAGCTCCCAGAGGCCAATACCGTCTAATTGTGTCCACAGTACCTCAAATTCGACCCGGTAAGGCCGATTTCAGCGCTAATCTCCTTTTTGGAGGTGGAGTAAGGAAATCGATTTTAAGAGCTCTTTAAGTTGAAAAAAAGGGCTTCGTCGTGTGGACGGGTGCAGGGTTAAATCGATTTAACGCTGCTAAATTCGACTTCAACTCCTAGTGTAGACCAAGGCTGAGATATCTTCCCCAAAGATTCCATCTGCACTAAGCTTGCTCCAACAAGTACTGATCAGGACTTTCCCTGCAATTGCAGATGTAAGCATTGTGGGTAGTCTGGAAACTGAACTCGGAACAGGGGGCCAATCTGTCCTGTGCTTTCAATGGTCCCCGTGGTGGACCCACGCAGTCTGGAGGAAGAAACTGCTTGATTCAAATGTAGAGGGGACAAGTGACGGACTTTGGGTGGGTGTCAGGGAGGAGATTGGGACAAAGCCTGGTGAGGGAGAAACTGGAAATGAGTGTTGGAGTGGAAGGTAGGACTGGGAGCCCAGGGAGGGTAAAGGGGGACTGAGGTTGGATGATGAGCCTGGGAGAGAGTGGCACTTTCTGAGCAGAGACTGTGACAAAGAGTGGGGGAACACTGAGGTGAATGAGGAGCCTGGGCAGTGAGAGGAGATTAGGCCTGAGAGCCAGTGAAAATGGGGAGTGGTTGGGGGGGAACTGCAGAAACCGTGTCAATGGGAGCTTTGGGAGAGGTATCCACAGGTGAGGGCAGTGCATGGAGCACTCTGCTCCCACTCCCCCAGGGGCAGTAGGAATGTGGTGCCGGCCCCTTCCAGGAGCAGGGCGGGGCCAGGGCAGACAGGCAGGGAGCCTGCCTGGCTCCAATGCACATCACTGCTACCCTGGAGCTGCCCCAGGTAAGCGGTGCCGGGCTGGAGCCTGCACCCCGCACCCCAATTCCCTGCCCTGAGTCCCCAGCTGCACCTGCCTACAGTGTCCAACCCTCTGCCTTACCCCGCCTGCACCCCAGCCCCCTTCCCTGTGCCCCCTCCCGCACTCCCTCCTGCACTGAGCCCCCTTATACACCCCACACCACTCATTTGCCCCAACCCCCTGCCCCAGCCCTACATTCATGGCCCTGCATGCAATTTCCTCAACGAGATGTGGCCCTTGGGCCAAAAAGTTGGCCCACCTAGGTAGGTAGGTAGATGTGTTCAAAGCACAGCTTACATTGACTTCCGTTGCAGTTGTGTGGGAATACCACTTCTGTAAATCAGACCACGGGTCTCGAGTCAGGCACCCAGAAAATGAGGAACACGCAATTAATGACCACCTGTGAAGAGTTTCATTTAAATGACTTGCCTAGCATCATATATGAACTCTGCAACAAATGAAATTGCCCTACAGCCAACAGCTTCCTTAACTACACAATCCTGATTCATCCCTAGAGCAGTCTATGCTGTGCACTGAATGAGGTGGGGTCCTGTGAAAAATAGTATGTAATCAAGGGCTGTATTATCAGGCAAATACACAAGGGGACTGAATTAAAGTTGCACAGACAATCTCATTTCTGCCATTTCCTAGCTTTTGGGTGCTTGATTTTGCAACCTTAATGTTCTTTTCATATAGAGTGTGTGGATGTTCTAGATACAGAGGGGTGTGTGTGCGTGCGTGCGTGCACACACAATATAGATTGAAATACAGTTACATTACTAAACTGTTTTAAATAGATTTGTGTATAGAAACTGGACAGGCACTTGTTCTTGGTAGGCACCATCATGATTAGGCAGCTAATGGTAAGGATTGCATGTCTGGCTAATATGGTGAATACTTGTTAGGAAAGCAGGCTGTGACTGTCCTTTCACCAGTGTTCCATTGGACTGAAGAAGATGAAGGTTGATGGGATTCACTTTATACTCACTCCCACTGGTCTTGGGGAAGCCCGTTTTGGGTGGCAGTGGTGAATTTTATAAAATGTCTTTTATGCAAATAAAGCCCGCAACAACTAATAAGAAAATAATCAGACTGACCATGCTGCTAGAAAAGTTATTTTTCATTAGCTATTTACTTTTATGTGGGTTCATTCTTAGCTTTGTTTCATGGTATTGCAAACTGATAAGCAACTTGCGAGTTACATGGAGCATCATTTACAAAACCATCAAGTCATGGAATCCCTTCCAGTTTTTACTTTAAAGCACAGCTTTTGATAAGCATACATGGTAATAAACATTTTTAGGAGACTAAGAATAATAAAATTAGCTTTTATTGAAAATATTTAATGTTTATAATTTGTTAGTAAAATGTATCCATTTTTATTTGAAAGCTGTTTTCTTAGACTATGAATATTTCTTTTAAGTAGCCAAACTTTGGTTATCTCAGCATGGGGCGTGGGGTTCCTTCTCTCCTGCAAACTCTGATCATCTTGTACTCCTTCTGCATGTTGTCTGGCCCTATTGTGGTAGCCAGTGCTTCACCCAATGGGAAAGCCAACTAACTGCCCCAGAAGAGTGTCCCCCTAAAATGCTTTGCACTGCTGAGTGGTGACAGGCATAATAACTGTCACTGGGAAGATGTTTCACTCAATGCTATTGGGGGCCATATACCTAATCCTGGCCCTCTGGACCTAATACATTCAGGCAGTTCTAATCAGAAAAATGCTTCCAGCAAGAGCCACTAGGACAATGTAAGATTTCAGAGTAGCAGTCATGTTAGTCTGTATCCGCAAAAATAGGAGTACTTGTGGCACCTCAGAGACTAAAATTTATTTGAGCATAAGCTTTCTTGAGCTACAGCTCACTTCATCGGATGCATGCAGTGGAAAATACAGTGGGGAGATTTATATACACAGAGAACATGAAACAATGGGTGTTACCATACACACTGTAACGAGAGTGATCAGGTAAGGTGAGCTATTACCAGCAGGAGAGTAGGGGGGAAAAAACCTTTTGTAGTGATAATCAAGGTGGGCCATTTCCAGCAGTTGACAAGAATGTGTGAGGAACAGTACGGGGGGGAAATAAACATGGGGAAAGAGTTTTACTTTGTGTAATGACACATCCACTCCCGGTCTTTATTCAAGCCTAAGTTAATTGTATTCAGTTTGCAAATTAATTCCAATTCAGCAGTCTCGTTAGTCTGTTTTTGAAGTTTTTTTTGTTGAAGAATTGCCACTTTTAGGTGTGTAATCGAGTGACCAAAGAGATTGAAATGTTCTCCGACTGGTTTTTGAATGTTATAATTCTTGACGTCTGATTTGTGTCCATTTATCCTTTTACGTAGAGCACTTCCTTCTTTTCCTCTTAACCTACTCACCTTCCCCCCCCGCCCCGTTGAGCAACTCTTTTTCTCAGCCTCTTACTTTGGTTGAGGATCTTACTAACAGTCATGCACAGAATTACACAAATGGGATTTGTCTTGTCCGGACTTTAATCCAGAATGTTTTGTCACAGAAGTTAGTAACATCATGTAATTGTATACGCTTTCCAAACTGCGTATATTCATATTATTTGATTGTCAGTACTGCATATGTTTCTCTAAATAAAGTTTTGAAATACATGTAGTCAACATTTATATTTTGTAGTCCTGTTGCAAAGCCTATGAATATATGGGATACATAATGGAAAAGGAGCAAGCATATAAAGACGCAGCAGTAAATTATGAGATGGCCTGGAAGTACGGAAACCAAACAAATCCAACAATAGGTATGTTTACACAATCTACATTTTTATCCTGTGGTAATACAAAAGAACAGAAACAATGACTCTTTATTGGTAAGACTGCATTTAATTTTCTCTATAAGTAAAATATCTTCTCCGATTGTCTTCCTGTGAAAATTCAGCTGTTTAGAGATCTACATTACAACATATGAGAGAGCCTTCATGGCAAGATATAGCTGTTTGAGTTGGTACTTTGACAAGACTCTCAGCAATTTACAGCTACTGTTCTTCAAGTAGTGTTCCTCTAGGTGCTCCTCTCCAGGAGTGCATACGCCTCTTGAGCCCTTGATTGGAGATTTTCTATTAGAAGTGTCTGTTCAGCCTGCGCATGCACTCTATACAACTTTATGCTGCACATTGAGGGTGTATAGGGCTTGTGGATGAACCACCTTCAGTTCCTTCTCTTAATTTTTCAGTGAGAGACAGAGCTCGATCGTGTCTGCCTTGTGCATACCTCTGTGTGTTCTACAGCTGTTCTGTTAGTTTAGTGTTCTTAGTTAATGTTAGTTATTTTAGTATAGAATTACTTAGATACTAGAGAGGATTGACCTTTTTTCCTCTCCTTTTTTCTCCTGTTTTTCTGGGGAGCCCTATCAGTCTGGCTGGGTGTGCCTGGCTCATAACATTTCAAATTGCCTCTCTTGTTAGTAGGCTATCTCAGTCAGCGATGGCCACTCTAAGAGCTGGTCTACACTAGAAGTGTTATGCCACTGTAGCGTGTCTGGTGAAGACGTTCTATGCCAATGGGAGAGCACTCTCCCATCGGCATAATTACTCCACCTCTGCGAGAGGCAGAAGCTAAGTTGGCGGGAGAGCATCTTCTGCTGACGTAGTGCCAGTGTGGTCAGTGCTTAGGTCGCTGTAACTTGCAGTGCTCGTTGGGGGTGGTCTTTTTCACACCCCTAAGTGATGTAAGTTAGATCAACTTAGGGCAGGTCTACACTATTGGTTAAGTGTGTCTGTTGCTTGGGAGAGTCTCATCTCTCCCAAAAGTGTAACTTTTGCCTAGCTCTCAAATTTAGAGCACAGAAGAACCAGGAAACCAAACTGAGACTTCTGATGATGGAGCACTCCCTTAGACCTGCTTCTGAGTGAGGTCAGTAGACCTTATCCCTATACATCTGTCTCTGGATGGATCCAGCACCCTTTGACTTAGGCCCAGGTCTCCCCTAGGAAGGGGAAGACTTTGGAGGACTCAAGGAAAGCTCCAGAGAAGAGCTCATCACAAGGAGCTGGCTCCCAAAAGGCCCCAATCTCATGCCAGTCCACTGTGTCGGAGGCCTCAACCTCTCAGCTTGGTACTGTGGAGGCGAAAGACTTCCTTCCTCCCATACCAGCAAGTCTGGGAGATCCAAGAGTGCTTTGGAGAAGCACAGATTCAGCAGGCCCCAGGTCCCATCTATAAAGGACAGGGATGCCTAGGATATATACACTCCTTTAGAATTACACTGTCTACATCACACTTACCATCAGCATCTTCTCTCTCATCACCGTCAGTACTGGGCAAATTGAAGCACCAAGCACTTTCTGCCTCGGCACTGACACAGTCTAGCTCAACGGCTGCACTGGTACCGACCCACTCAGTGCTGCAGGAATTCAGCTACTCCAGAGACTTAGTCAGTCTTAGACGAGCCAGAATACCCACTATTTATGGGTACCAATTGACTCTTGGTACTGATACCCCGATCTCCAGATTACCATTCCTTCCCGATACTGCAAGTCACTCTGCTTTTTTCTACTGGGGCCCCATCACTGGAGGACATTGAGGAGGATGAAGGAGCGATTCAGTCAGTCTCTTCTATATCAGTTCAGTGTTCCCCTCCACATCCATACAGGAACCCGTACTTCAACAAGGATCTTTGTCCATGACCGGGACAGTGGGATCAGCCCTGGGTTCCACCCCCTGTCCTGTATGGGCTCCCACCACTGGCCATATCAGGGTTCTTGGACTTTGTATTGGCAGCAATTTACCAGATCTCCAGCTCCATTACACCAAGAAGCTAGGTTTGCACAGTCACCTCTACCAACCCCGCAGCACGAGATGTTTGAAGAACAGGAGGTTAGGACAGATAAAGGGGTCACCCCGCAAAATCATATTTCATCCTCATCTCTAGACGAGGTGGTCATGCCTCTGCCACCATCAATGGCTGCCAATTTCTGTCAATTCCACGTCTTGTGGAGGAGGTGGCTGCCACTTTCAGATACCTCTTGGGGAGATCAAAGACTCGCAACTCTAGCTACTGGACATTCTGCAGTCAGCAACATCCACCCAGGTTGGTGCTACCCATTAATGAAGCGCTCCTGGATCCAACGAAGACTATGTAGCAAAAGCCTGCTACTATCTCACCAACTTGTAAACGGGCAGATAAGAAATATTATGTTTCTCCCAGGGACTCTGAATTTTTGTTTGTCCACTCCTTGCCTAATTTCCTGGTGGTGTGCTGTAAATGAGCAGGGTAAGCAGCATTATTCAGGGTTCACCCCAATGATAAAAATCAGAAGAGGTTAAACTTTTTTGGCTGAAAGTCTTGCTCATCTGTGACCCTCCAATTTCAGATCATAAACTGTCAGGGGATCATGGCCAAGTACAACTTCATGAAATACAATAAATTTACAGCCTTTATTGAACATATTTCACAGAAGCACAGAGAACACTTTCACACTATCATCACAGAGGGTCAGTTATTAGCCAGAACCTCTCTTTAAGCAGCCTTAGGTGTTGCAGACACCATCACTAGATCCATCTCCATAGAGGTTGTTATGCATAAGGCATCCTGGCTCCAGCTCTCTCAAGGTTCCTGAGGGAGGTTCAGAGTACTGTTGAAGACCTCCCATTTGATGGTTGGAAGCTCTTCTTGGGGGGCCATGGATGAGTCCTTGCATGCACTGAAGGACTCCAGGGCCATGTTGAACTTTCTGGGTAAATACACCCCTGTGAACAAGAGGAGATTTTGTGTGTCTCAAATTGCCCAGAGAGCATAACTTACCTAATTCACTACCTTTCATAGAACCACTAAACCTGGGAGGAAGAGACAAAAATTCCAGAGAAAGAGAGCTAATAATCCTCCTTCAGCAAGTAGCTATCACTGAAATAACAATTTTGACAGGATAGTTGAGGGTTTGATTCCTCCCTTGCCTCTAGTTTACAAGATGCAACCTTTTGCTCATCTCCCCAATTTTGGAGACTGCCTTTTCCTTTTGCAACTGATTTGGTGGTGTATTACAACAAACACGTGGGTCATACAGGTCATAACATCAGGCTATACCATCCACTTTGTATCCCTTACATCTTCCCTCTTATTCCATTCCTCTCATGAAACTATACTGAGACCTGGTCTACACTGCCACTTAAGTCAATGTAAGTTATGTCACTCAGGGGTGTGAAAAAATCTCCCACCAACTTAGCTTCTGCCCTTGGGGGAGGTGAAGTACTAAAGTTGATGGAAGAGCACTCTCCCATCAACTTATCGCATCTTCACCAGACCCACTAAATTGATGCCATTGCATTGATCACACACCGCCGATTTGGGAGGCAGTGTAGACAAGCCCTGAGTCAAGAAGTGCACTCAATGCTTCATTTAGGAGCTATGGAGGCAATCCTGTCCCTTCACATGGGGGAAAAGGTTTTACTCAAAGTATTTTCTTGCGCCAAAGAAGGACGGAGGATGGAGACTTATCTTAAATCTAAGACAACTGAACATATTTGTAAAGTCTCAAAAGTTCAGGACTGTGTCTCTGGCAGCTGTAATTCTTTTCTAAAGGCATGAAAGTATGTTTGGGTCCTCAACTTACAGGACACCTATTTCCATATAGTGACTCACCCCACTCACAGGAAATACCTATGTTTTACCGTGGGCCAAGAGCATTTTCAGTACTGATTACTTCTGTTTGGTCCCAGGGTATTTTCAAAGATTCTAGTGGTAGTAACTGCTTATCTTCAGCGAGAAGCAACTGTATTCTTCCAGTATCTCGATGACTGGCTACTCAAGGGCCAATCTTAGGAAAGAGTGCTGACCTCCACTCGGACAGCTCTTGCTCTCTTTCAGGAATTGGATTCCAACTAAATGTTTAAAAAAAAAAAAAAATCTGTTAGGTAATTACAATTCATGGGGCCCAGGGCTTTCCTTCCCATGGACAGATTCATAATTTCGGCACATCTGGTCTATTCAAGGAAGCCCCAGTAAGGAACTATTTATAGGTCTGAGGTCATATGGCAGCTTGCGCCATTGTAACCGAGGATGAAAGATTATGCCTCCACTGCTTTCAGTGCTGGTTCAAAAGGACCTATTCCTTGACCAGAGACAGCTTGGACAAACAGGTCACAGTTTCCCTCAAGGTGAAAAGCTCTCTAGACTGGTGGAAGAATCAACTCAGTATCTATCCGCGTGTCTCCCCGTTTCCAACAATAACTGTGACAACTGACTCCTCATTGCTAGCATGGGTAGCATCCTCAGTATTCTCACAACGCAGAGCAAATGGTCATCTCAGGAATCTGGTCTCCCTATCAACCTGTGGGAACTCAGAGCAGTCAGGAACACTTGCCTTCAGTTCCTACCCCTCACCAGGGGCAACTCAATCAGGATCATGACAGTGTTGCTTGCATGTTCTGTATCAACAAACAGGAAAAGCAAGATACCCCTCCCTGTGCACTGAAGCTATAAAGTTGTGGAACTTATGGTACAGCCCATCAGAATCCGATCTCAGCCATTTATCATCTTACCAGCAGGCACTTCTCTCAGGACTCCGAATGGGAATTGGAGACTCAAGTTCTTCACAGGATATTTGAACAGTGGGGACATCCATTGGTGGACCTATTTGCAACATTCAGCAGTGTCTCCTGTTCTGCTCAAGAGGAGGCCTAAGTTGCCACTCTTTGGAACATGCCTTTCTGCTTCCCTGGACAAAGGTCATCTTCTACACATTCTCTCCAACATTGCTAATACTGAGAGTGAGGAACAAGATCAGACAGGACAAAGATAGTTATCTTTATAGTACCGACCTGGCTGAGACCTGTTTGGTAGCCTTACCTGCTTCATCTGCATGTCCAACTGGCATTCAAGCTTCCGATCATCCCTCATCTCCTGTTCCAAGGTGCAGGTTTTGTGCTTCACCCCAACCTATAAGTCCTCCTTCTCTGAGATGGTTCACAGGATTAGAATCCACTGCTCAACAGGAGTACGATGGCTATTACTAAACCTTAGCAGAAAGTCAGCTCATATTACTTCAGACTGGTATCACTGTGTTGTACCTGAATACTCTTTGTTTTCAGACATCTTATTTTACCTGCTGAGCCTGAAGACACCAGGGTTATCAGTTAGCTCTATTAAGGTTCATCTGGCCACGATATCCGCATTTCATCCCCCGCTAGAAAGGTTTTTCATATTTGTTTACTTTAGGTCCTCAAGATTTATTAAGGATTTAGGGAACCACTACCTCCGGGTTAAAGATCCTATTCCTACTTGGGAATCTCAACCTGGTACTTCAATACTTCATCAGATTTCCATTTGAACCCGTGGCAAGCTGCTCCTTGCTTCACTTATCTATGAAGGTGGTCTTTCTAGTAGCTATCAAGTTCGCCTGCAGGGTGGGGAAATTGTAGCCGAGATGGCAGACCCCCACCCCTTCCCACTCCCATTTACAGTGTTTTTCAAAGACAGGTTCTCTTTATGGCTTCACCCTAAATTCTTACCTAAAGCGTTGTCAGATTTTCATCTTAACCAGTGCATTTATTTACCTGTATTTTTCACAAAACCAAGTAAATCTCAGCGTGAGACCTTCTTTAATACATTAGGTGTTAGATGGGCCTTTTATCAGATAGAAGCAAGCAGTTTCGGAAATCACCTAGACAGTGTTCACAGCAGAGAGATCCATGGGGTCCCTGATCTCTACACAGAGACTTTTTCAAGGAGGATCTCTGGGTGTGTTACATGCTATGCAGCTGGTGATCCCCCTTCCCCTCCCAAAAAGGGTAATCGCGCACACTACCAGATTGTTCTTGAATAAAATTTCGGAAGTTGCCTACATTCTGGTGTCTGATGTATGCAGAGCTGCTACATGGGCCTCAGTGCATACTTTCACTAAACACTATGTCTTGATCTACACGGTCAGATCTGATGCTGAGCTTGGTAATTCTGTACTGTCTTCAGTCCTGGACTCAATTCTGAAATTCCCTCTTCCGTTTGGGTATACTGCTCAGGAATCACCTCAAGCAGAGCAAGCAAAGAGACACTGTTAGAAGTTGTTACTCACCCTATGCAGTGGGCTGTAGTTTTTTTGAGATGTGTCCCTGCACAAGGTAAGTAACCTTTTCTTCTAGTGGACTTCCCACAAGCTTTGATTTTTGGAACCCATTATGGTTCACTGTTTCTATATGCAACTTGCATATTGCCTATAAATATAGTATTCATTTTGAATATGCATTATGCTACTTATGTATGAATTAGTGGCTCAGCTTTGTGACTTTGTTCTTACTATTTAATTTTGATCAGATATATGCATATCATTTTTAAACTATGTAAATTAAAAATTCTTATTTCCAACTCAAGATTGGTAACCAATTAAAAACTATTCGGGATATTTTTAAAGTTCCACTTAAGACAGTCAGTCAGTGAATTCAACTATTGGAATATGTGTTTGGTCTCCTACTTTTAGACCATTCTATACAGAAGAATGTACAAAAACTATACACAGGAGGCAGACTTTTTATTGAAATAAAACCTACCTCCACACTCACAGGATGGTGGTTTCCAAAGTTCAGTTCCCACTTTTGGACTGTGTTGATGGCATCTCAAAAAAATGAACACTGTTTACAATGCACCCTCTTACAGGCTTCTCTTGTACTTTTTTTAAAGGATGTGGAATGATAATGGTATTCTAGATTGCATAGAAAACAGTTTTCATAATGTTCAGCTCTACCTTGTATACAATAAATTGCTGCATCATTTACTTCTGTAGGTGCAGTTCCTAAATCTCCTTATGTTTCAGGTTCACACATTTTTTTAAGTGAACTGTATATTAGAGAGGAACTACAGTGTCTGTAAAGGAACTACATTTGTTATCAACTTAAAACACAATAATCTACAGGTTTAGGTAGTTACCTAAAAGTTCCTAGGTGTACTTGTCTACAGAAAATAAGGAAGGTCAGAGTGCACCAAGAAAAGCTTTTAAGGGTCTAAAGGTTGGAAAGGAAACAAAATAGGAAAAGGAGGCAGATAGGAAGCTGGGAACATCTTTCCATAAAGAGAACGAGATTACTGAAGTGTTCATTTTGCATGCTCGTAATGAACAAGAATGATCAAATGGTAACTGGCCTTCGCCAAGGCTTCTGAGCTAATCTTTCTTGAAGATCTTTTCCTAGGAGGAGAAAGTGGAGAACAGTGAATTATATCTATGGGTTTCACACTGAGGGGCTGGCCTATGGAGTGTCTGGATGGTGTCATAAAGATACTCAAATAACTATGTTTTGAAGAAGCTGCCTCAACAGACCAAGGCCCAAGAGAAATGTTGATTTCAATGAGGCCAGCACAGAACTTGCCCATCAACTTTCTTGAAACATTTTGGGGGGCGTGTGGAGCAAACATGCAAACTTAAGTCATTTGGCATCTAGATACTATACCACAGTGTCTTAAAAAACCTAAAGTAGATATAATTTTGCATACAGTAGAATCATGGTCAATTGAAAATAATTGTCGTATGGCTCTATTTTTCATTGTGTACACAAATACATGGGTTACAATCCTCATGCAGTAGAGTTAATGCTAGAAAAAATGGTAGAAACTTCAGCTTGAATGTAAACCTTGTAAACATTGGTAGGGCTCAGTGTCTGTCTTGGATTTCGAGACTTTTCGTGACTTCTGCAGTGGCCAGTGTGGCTGACCCCAGCATCACCCAAGCAGGTGGCCCCAGGGACAGCCACACTTGCCACTGCTGGAGTGGCGCCGCAGCCTGCTGCATTTGCCTCTGCTTGGGGGGCAGCCAGAGCAGCAGCTGTTCAGCTCCCCTGGGCGGCCAGAGCAGCCTCCCAGCAGCGGCTCCCTGGTGCGCACCTCCCAAGATTTAGTCACCGGTATTTTTACTAAAAGTCCTGGACAGGTCACATGGCCATAAATTTTTGTTTATTGCCCATGACCTGTCCATGACTTTTACTAAAAATACCCGTGACTAAAGTGTAGCCTTACACATTGGTCATTTCATTGTCCATTTGGTTATGTAGGATAGCTTTATAGAGACTGTTCAGAACTATAGACTTCCTTATGGCTCTCTGTTGGAAATTACTCATCATAGACTTTTTATTTCTGGGCTCTGACCTCTTCCCCAAACTGAGATATTTGGGCTGTGCCTCTTTTCCTGCAAATATCAGATTAGTCCCCATGTCATTATGGATATTGGCTATTCCTTGTGTCCTTTTACTAGCTTCTCTGACTGCAGAGATACAAACAGAATAGCATTTCAGCTTTCCTGTCTTAGCCAATGCAGGCCAGACTTTTAAAGCTTTCTTTAAGGCAGCAGTATGCAGAATATTCCCCATGTTCTTTTTCTTGGGGGACAAGAATTTTCAAATATCTATATCCCCAACAAGGCCAACTCATCAAGGTCCTTTCTGTTGGCTTTCTACTCCCCCATCATGTTATAGCTGACAAAATGGGGTAGGTAAAATACAAAGATGCTCTCAAGAGCCATAGAACCATCTCTCTGTACTGTTGGTAGAGAATTTGAGGTGAGTACAGAAGAGATGTGGCCAAATCCTGGTGCCCCAGAGACAAATGTTAACTGCCTCTGATATTTGCTGCAAGGGGCACAGTCCAAATATGTTGATTGAGGGAGAAGTGAGTTCCACCAAGAAAATAGTCAGCTAAACAAGTTTTCCATTCTTGTTCTTGTATCTTATTATTTAGTTTTGTGTCCTCACCTAATGTAACTAAACTATCAAAAGGGTGGTTTCTATCAAAATAGTGATTCATAGCCCAGTGTGAGAGGTCATGAAGGATGACATGACAACTTAATTTAATATGGGTTACCACTATATATTCTTTAGAATGTAAATCTTCGTTCCTGTGTGTAAATATATCTGGTGATAAGTTATTTAATTTTAAAATGCCTTCAAAACTCATTTTAGAGCTCTACCTAACTTGCCTGTTTCAGAGGGGTGTTTTGGAGACCACTTAGCAAACAGTTATTCCAACTTTTTTCTTTTAAGTAAACTTGACCATTGGAATATTTTCAACTTGAATGTGATGTTTTATTCTTTGTTTAATTTTAAGCATAATATGTCATGGGTATTTGCACTGCTTACAGGATACAAGCTGGCATTTAATTACTTGAAAGGAAAGAGATACGTAGAAGCAATTGATATTTGTCATAAGGTAGGCTTTTAATTCATATTTTAACTGTTTGCACTACTATAACTTCCTTTTAGGTACTGAGTTATTTCTGTATTTTTCAGATTCAGGAATTACAAATTATGTAGCATTTAGCTTCGGAAATTGTTTAATTTCATAAAGTTGGTAGATGTTCAGGTTACTTGGTTTAGTTCAGCCTGTTTTTTCCTAAATTCCTCAGATCATCAAGGAATAACTGAGGAAGTAGCTGTCTCCAGTGTTCCCTCTAATTTTTCCCACCTTGTGTGGAATGAATTTTGTTATGTACACCAACATGGAGATGATGTGTGACCCACATCACCTCCATATTGATGAATATGACAAAATTCATAGGCCGAGGGATTCCGAGTGTGGGAGGGGGCCCAGGGCTGGGGGCAGAGGGGTGAGAACTCCAGCTGGGGGTGCGGGCTCTGGGCTGGGGCTCGGGGCTAGGGCAGAGAGTTGGGGTGCTGGGGCTGGAGGACTCCGGCTGGGAGTGTGGGCTCTGAGTGGGGCCGGGATCATGGGTTTGGGGTGCGGGCTGCCCTGGGGCTGTGATGGCAGGGAGGACTTTCTGCAGCTCTCTTGCCTCGCAGCAGTACTTGGGCTGCGGGGGAGGTGCGCCTCACCCATGGTCATGTCAGGTCCGTGCTGGGGCTGGGGGAGGGGCGCCTCTCCCCAAGCCATGGCAGGTCCGGTCCAGGCCAGGCTGGGTTGGGGCACATCTCCCCCAGCTGCAGCAGGTCCAGGGTTTGGCTGGGTTGGGGGAGGGGGAGAGTAATCTCTCTCCACCGCAGCCCTGAGTGCCTGCTCAGCGCTTAACAGGCTGCTGCGTGATTGCGCAGCTTAGAGGGAACTTAGGCTGTCTCCCACTGTATATCAGAGCCAAGGCAAAGTATCCTCTGCTGCCCTGTGGTTGCAACGTGGTACGGTTCTATATGGTGTAACTCAAGTTAATGAAATTTGAGAGCAGAATTCCAATGTTCATGTCACATGAAAGGCTAGTAGAAGAGTAACTTTTCAGTAGTGTCTCTGTAAAATAAATTTTATATGACCACAACAACCTTTTGAAATTTGGTGTAAATTAACATTTATTAACAGTTCTATTTAACTGTTCTAACTGTGGCTGACTCAAACATTCTAAATCTGAGGGTTGAAATGGATGAGGTTGGAGGTTATGAGAAAAAATGTATATTTGAATATTAGTGCAGTTAAATACTATTTTTATAATCTGTTATTAATTATGTTTATAATGGTCATGCCTAAGCATCAAGCAAGAATGGGGCCTTATTGTGCTAGGCACTGAACAGATTAGCAGACAGTCCATACCCCAAGGAGTTAAACTGTAGAAACACACACAGGACTCAGAAAAGGAATATAACAGAGAAGCCAAGTGAATAATGTCTGCAAAGCTCATGTTAAAGCTATGTTTTTTGTTTTTGTTATTGCAGGGGTGGGGGGGAGGTTACTTAGGAAGTGATGAGCTAAGTGGAAAGAAAAGTGAAGGGAGGGGGATATTAAAGGCAAGGATGTGAGGGGGACAGTGCAGTGGAGAACAGAGAAAGGGGCTGTTGTGGAATGAAGCTGAGATGAAGTATGTGGAGAGCACTGGGATGTGCTAGATGCCCAAACAACAATCCTGTCCAAGACAGTAGGTACATACTTGGGTGGCTAACGTGTACTGCTACAGCCATGCTTCTATTTTTAGCATGTTAGCTCGATCAGAGCCAGCACAGGTATGTTTTCTCAAACTGGAAATTACACCTTCCAGCTCCTGAGCAGACCTAACCTATTAGAAGGCAGAGAGAGAAAGAGAGGATTGGAGCAAACAGCCAATCAGCACAGAGGAAAGAAAGTCCAGTCAAAATTAGAAAGTTCTCTGAATGTCTGATGGTCCCTGTTTGGCTGCTTCTGCAGGTGCTCCTAATGGCCTGAGTCACTGGCTAGTTTCTCCCTGCAGTTTTCCCCCAAGTCCATGTGGTGGATGGAAGGGACAAGATTGTCTTTATGATACAGCTATTTATGACCATTGTACATCTGCTGTGATGAAATATCTTATGTATTTATAAACAAAATCATCAAACTGTTACTGATTTATTAGAAGGCTTAAAATGAAGCTCAAAATGATGATGGAAATATCTGATGACAGTACTTGTTCATTTTAGCATGCTTTATAACTGGTTTTAAACTGTGTGTATTGTTTGCCTTTAACAGGTCCTAAAAGCACACCCAAACTACCCAAAGATCAGAAAGGAAATACTTGACAAGGCTCGTGCATCCTTAAGGACTTGAACCTTATTTGTATGAATCACTGAATTTTTATCCAATTTTGGAAATTATGTATTGGATATTACAATGAAGAAATGACCATTCAGTATGTAAATATTAGAAATACTGTACACATCGTCCAGATCTCATATATAGTTACTCTTCAAGGACAAAAGAGATTTTTTTCTTCAGAGTTGTGGATTTATCTTTTCTCCAGTAGAGGAGGCTTTTGTACATCAGGATTTAATAAACTTAAAAAGAAATAGTATGTATGAATTACAATTTTGTACTAGACAGGAAACTAAATGACAAGTGATTTCCTGTGCTATCGTCTAGAAGGTACTAACTTTAAACTGTAAACAAATAACCAATCTCGCAGTCCTGTTCCACAACTGGAAAAAATACTACTTTGCTGTGTGAAGAAGTGAAAATACAAGAAGAATCTGAAAATACAAATAGCTACAGTGAAAGCCACATGTGTTTATGTAGTACTGATTGAATACACTTCTCACAAATGGATTCACGCGCAACTAGAATATTCATCATCATCTGCTAGTGATGATTTACTTACTATCAAAAAGTTTCAAATATAATTTGAAAATGTTTTTGGAAGATAACAGACACTGTAAATAACTTGTGTTTAAAATAAAATAGACTAACACTCTATAATTCCTGAGCATATAGCAATCTTTGATAAGAGAAGAGGCAGGGAATGAATGGAACAAGAATAAGGTATTTCCCCTCTTAAGTGCTGTCATTTGTGACACAGCATTTTAAACTCAGTGTAATTTTTCTCCTCCTCTGGAGGTCACTGTTTTTGTTCATCAGTAAAGAAGAAACCTGTCCTTAATTCTCCTTCAGTGATTACTTAAGATTTCTCAGTTCTAGCAAATGGACTTAATTAGCAATCTCAATGTAAGCTTTCTTTATACCGTTGCTACTGAGATATTTGTAAATGAGGTTTTATTTACATTCACTTTTAACTGAGCTATATGGTTAAACTGGGAAAGCAGTAAGTTTATATTTTAATATGGTTTTAAATGAAAATGACATTTTAATTGAGATTTAGCATTTAGTAACAAAGATTAATTTTTTTTACTATTTGGTATAGCTATTTAATTGATTTTTAAAAGGTTAGGAAAATCAATATTCCCAGTTGTGAGACATATTCTTAACGCTCGAACTAGAAGTATTTCATTTTGAAATACTTCTGTTTTTGATTGTCTATCTGTTTATGTAGTACATCCGTGTATAACTAATAGTTATGTGTGTGCAGCAAATTATGGTTTGTCTCATTTAGTCTATAAATGTTTTGCAGAGAGAGAACTTTGGGTATAGCAATCAAAGATTTTGTACTCTGTACACAAGATACTGGCTGTCCTATAAGAACAGTTTCATCCCACAAATGGGAAAGACTGACTAGTGAATGGGTTCTGAATGCTTTTCTCTTGACTGGTCTAATATCTTATGCTACAGAAATTGTTACACTACAGCATTATGTCTTCAAATAGCACATTGTGTTTATCTTTCTCAAAAAAGCTATTTTGGCAAGAAAAGAGAACTTTTTAAAACAGTAATTAACTTCCTAAAATAGCCAGTGTTTCCTCAAGTAATTCTGGCTTCTTATGTTGACATTTTGTAAGGTCCGTAAAAGACATGACACTTGAAAATGTCTGTTAAGAATGTGTAGCCTACATCAAGGAGACAACTTCAAAATCATATCTGACACAGCTACCAGTAATTGGGATACAATATCCAGGTTGACTTTCTTTAAACTAACAGGGACCATATCAAGGCATTTTGCAGTAAAATCTGTGGGTGAGGGACACAACACAGGAAATTGAAAAGTTAACTTTGCGTAGTTTCCTCTGACAGTTCTTGTTGAAGGGACTGTTTGGGAGGGCTGCAGAGGAAGGGACGGATGCAGGTTCCAAATCCTGTAGATTATGGGTGAAGAAAAGCTGCTGTCTTGTGGAGGGATTGGCCCCTGAGGTCATTTGTGAATGATTATTTTGCTCAGATGGAACAATATTGACTGCCGCACAGATCTTGTATCTACTGTGCTCAGAGATGTGTTTTATGGTGCAGTATGTCTACTCCTGGCCTTGTCTTCCCTAGCAAAAGTGAGATCTATAATTCACTAATGCAGCTCTACTGGTGGGGGTAGTGGTTAAAGATGTTGTATTAAGTGGGACTCAGGCATTGTTGTTAGTGTGTTGTCTAACAGTGGGGTTAGATGACATGGTAAAGGCTTATAGGCAGGCCTGGACTCTCTGCAGCTTCCACAGTTATTACCACCATCAGAACTGCATCAGAGGGCACTAATGAATCACAGGTCCCTTTTTTGATAGTGTAGATACAGCCCCTGAATCACTGAAGGGGAGCCACAGATTCACCCAACCCAGTTTCGCCAGCCTCGGCCTCTCTCCATTTGCATTAATGGGAGCTGGATCAACACTTGGCTTTTAAGTCTAAAGTGAAAATTGAATGATCTATTCCATGATGCTACTTAGAAGATGCTATTCAAAAGAGGCACGAGTAGTTCTGTTTCTGTATCCATTTAATCTTCGTATATAGTGTTGTAGCCATGCTGGTCCAAGGATATTAGCAATACAAGATGGGTAAGGTAATATCTTTTAGTGGCCCAGCTTCTGGTGAGAGAAAGACAGGCTTTCAAGCTTACACAGAGCTTGAAATGTGTTAACTACTTACGCTAAACAATCTGTTCTACCTTGTATTTAGTTGTGACACTGAGTACATTTCCAAGACCTGAAGAGCTCTGTGTAAACTCGAAAGCTTGTCTCTCCCACCAACAAAAGTTGGTCCACTAAAAGATATTACCTCATCCACCTTGTCCATTTAATCTTGGCTGTCTCATTTGAAAGAGCAAACTATGGGGAGGGAGTAAGGAAGGTCTGATCCATGGCCATTTTGTGATGTAAACACTAGTTGCTAGGAACTGAACTGAGACTACAAGGTCATAGAATATCAGGGTTGGAAGGGACCTCAAGAGGTCATCTAGTCCAACCCCCTGCTCAAAGCAGGACCAATCCCCAACTAAATCATCCCAGCCAGGGCTTTGTCAAGCCTGACCTTAAAAACTGCTAAAGAAGGAGATTCCACCACCTCCCTAGGTAACGCATTCCAGTGTTTCACCACACTCCTAGTGAAAAAGTTTTTCCTAATATCCAACCTAAATCGCCCCCACTGCAACTTGAGACCATTACTCCTTGTTCTGTCATCTGCTACCATTGAGAACAGTCTAGAGCCATCCTCTTTGGAACCCCCTTTCAGGTAGTTGAAAGCAGCTATCAAATCCCCCTCATTCTTCTCTTTCACAGACTAAACAATCCCAGTTCCCTCAGCCTCTCCTCATAAGTCATGTGTTCCAGTCCCCTAATCATTTTTGTTGCTGGACTCTTTCCAGTTTTTTTCCACATCCTTCTTGTAGTGTGGGGCCCAAAACTGGACAGAGTACTCCAGATGAGGCCTCACCAATGTTGAATAGAGGGGAACGATCATGTCCTTCGATCTGCTGGCAATGCCCCTACATATACATCCCAAAATGCCATTGGCCTTCTTGGCAACAAGGGCACACTGTTGACTCATATCCAGCTTCTCGTCCACTGTAACCCCTAGGTCCTTTTCTGCACGCAACTACGATCTATCTGATTGTTATAATTTCCTGTCTTTACCAAACAGGGCTGTATTCATATTGGCAACCCTGGTAAAAGGCTTCCAATCTTCCATTAAGAATCCCTGAGCCTTCCCGTCCCTAATGTCTTGTTAAGGATGAAATCTTTTTAGGAGGGAAGTGAGAGAAGAAACCTTTAAATCTAAAGATGAAAAAGTATGCTGTGATTATAGACAGTCTGTCTTAAGTGTTGCTTAAATGTACTTTTCTTAGATGAATTAAATGTTTTCTCTTTGGTACATATGAACCACTTCAAACTCTTATCATTTTGTATTCTTTACTTTCTCTCTCAAGCTGCTTTTTTTAACTGAATGACCTTGTTTCATTTCTATTTATTCCAGTTAATTGGAAATGCTGATTCCTGATCTGCTGTTTCTTATTTTAGTATTTATTTCTTTTGCAGCCTTTTTCCAAGCCACCTTCCTAATAATGGTTTTGAACAGAAGAGGCTCCTGAGACTGAGGGAAGTCAGCTATGTTAATTTCAAAGAGCTCCAATCTTCAGTATGATGTTTCCTAGCAACCCATCTTCCACTCTTGCCTTTGGTGAACAAGGGAGGGGAGTGAGTGTGTTTTCTACTGATTCATTCACTTGAGATCTAAGTGTCCTGTGGCTATAGCAACACAAACCAAAGGTGTCTTCTCACCCCCCTCCTTTTGGTTTAGGATCCCTGAAATATTTTCTAGGAGGACGTCCATAGGGTAGCTTTTCTGACTGTAAGCAGAACAGGCTCTGGTAGACTGCTTTTCTCTCTCTGTTTTGAGCACTATGCTAAGACCATAACAATTATCTTAGAGGTAAAATGGCAATAATTTCACTAGCTAAAATAAGCAGACGAATCAAACTAATACTGAATCATTTTAAAATAAGAGTACAACATGTTTGCACTGGCCAGTTTAGACTAGGTCTAACTATGTTATGAACCACTTTGCAAATTTTTGTGGCCACACTAAGGAGGGTCCATAATAGGGACAACTTTAAATTAGGGACCTAAACCCTAATTCTGCAAACACTGAAACATGAGTAATTTTATTCATATGAAGTTATTGTTGGACTAAGCCTGTGCTGGCCAGCAACCTTTCTGACAAGAACAGTCTTTGAAAAGAGTTTTTCCACTGTAGATTAGACATTAGAGATGAAATCCTGGCCACAGTGAAATCAATGCAAAACTCATTAAACAGTGGGGCCAGGATTTTACCCTTGAAGCATGTACTAAAATATTAAGCATCAAACATTAAGATGTTCAATTAAGAAAACTTTACACTTAAAATAGAGTATTTGACTCATCAGTATTAACAATCCATTATCACTGCAGCATGTGGGATTCCTTAAATGTGTAAAATTGCTCAGATGCGTAAAAGTTTCAGGATCAGGGCCTTCATCCAGAAGATGGTTACACCTAGCCTGTGCTCACCAGGGAAATTGTAGAAACTTTCACAGGCACCTTACTGGGAACAATGTTTTTTAAAACTGGTTTTGGATAATATGGTTCCTTGTATTGTAAACAAATACTGAATGCCAGCATTTTAAATTTCGTCATTTTATCAAGACAGAACTTCCCAGGCCTCATGTGAAAAGATCTGGATAAATATAACATGAGAAAGCAGTAAACGTGTTTTTTGTTAGAATAGTTTTACACTGAACATTTTGCATATTCCAGTAAAAGATAACTCCGTATTCTGGTTATTGAATATTCTGAATCAGTGTGATAGCATCCAAAAACAGGATAGCTTTGAATGATCTGCAAGAAATGGTAAATGGCAAACTAATGACATTTAGAGATGGTACTAAATTAAAAGATGCTCCAAATATCAGCAGGGACAAAAAATTACCAAGTCAGATGTTAAAAATATGGGTGAGATATGAAATTAAATCTGGAAAATACAAACAGATCTAGGGGGAAATAATTGTAAACACGGATATTCAATTGGAGATTCTTGGAAAACAATGCCAAAAGGTACCTACAGTGATGATGGACAGAAATTGGATAGGAGCTTGTAATTTGATATGGTGGCAAAGAAAGCAAAAGCTATTTTGAGCTGTCTGCAAAGGCATTATGTCATGGACTAGGGAACTGATTTCTCTGTACAGCACTGGTGAGACTGCACATAGAATACTGATATAGTTCTGGGAAATTCAGTACCAGAAAGAGATTCTGAATTCCTTCCCATTTTGTTAAATGCTAAATAAATAAAAATGAAGGCCTGGAGGGACTGACCTGAGGGGTGGGGAGAAAGTAAATCTGTATGGCTTTGCTAACTGATGATCAACAGGAAGTATAAAATATTGACTATAAGTAACTGAAAGATGCACACATCACGGAAGAGATGTGTATCTTTCTTTAGAGAGAGCCTGAGGCATGTAACTAGGAATGCTGCGATGAAACTGAGCAGAACAAATTTTAAGTGACTGTTATTAAAATATAAAATAATATACAGCATATTAGTCATTTCAAATTCAAATGGGTACAGTAGGGACCAATTTATGCTAGTATGGGGTGGACAAGAGGACTTATAATGTTCTGTCTCTAAAATTCCTGGGTTTTTTCTACATTTTGGTGAAAAGATTTTTTTCTGTGTTTGGTTTTTTTTTCCTGAGGGAAGAGAATCAGGACACTAGCTTAAGATTGAAACATTCCTCTTCAAGTTGGCAGAGGTTCCAAAACCAGTGTTCCCTCTCTAGTGCTTTCTTTCTTTGTCTACTTGTGATGGTGTGCTACATCTTTTTGGGTTTTGGCTATTTGCTTTACAAATTCTTTGCTTGGCTGGCCAAGTGAAATTTCAGTGGCCCCAAATTGCTGTGCCTTCTCCGGTATTTATGCAATATGCTCTAAGATTTGCAGTGACCTATGGAATTGATGAAGCCTCAGGAAACCACTTTTTTTTCCTGTGTAACAATGCTTCCTTTAGAACAACACAATCTTTATTTTGTTCATTGTTGACTTAAGAAAATTTTATTAGTAATGTACACTAGTACTTTAAATGGAAAGCATGTACTTCTGATTGTATTTAACCTAATGTATGGCAGAGAGTGCAAGATAGTAGAAACAACCCCGAGAGCTTTAAATAATTGTCATAGAAGCTGGTGAGGAAGAGTATGTTCTGGAGGAAGGGGCATCTGATGCTCTAGTCTTGTTGATATTAGGAACACCATTTTGGGATGTGCAGTGGTGCAGAAACTGAACCTCCCAAATAAGGACTGAGGTGATGCTCCTAACCTCTGCAGGAATTGAAACAACAGCATCCATCTGTCCCTGCCATATTTCACTCCTGACCAGGTGTTCTCCTCATTCCAGACCTCGAGCCCCCCCTTTCTGTCAACCACATTAATGAAACTCCCTCCTTTCACTGCCCCTAAAAACCACAGCCCTGAAGCTCTACTCCTGTGGTGATTATAAACACACCATGAACAGAACTTTACCTGCTACCTCTATTCAATTGTCTGAACACATTTAACCCTTGTTATTTGAAAAAGTTATAGCCCTAGCTCTTACTTTAGATCTGGGGTTTTTTTCTATTACTTACAGGACTTCTAGAGTGGACCATGGGTATAAAAAAAAATTAGATAAAGTAGTGTAACTCATCTGCCACATTGTGCTCCTCCTAGTGCAATTATTTCACATCCTGAAAAAGGTCTTTCAGGGCCAGCTTCTTATTTCTTAATCTTGCTGTGAAATCATAAACTCATTTTGTAATATCAGAGTGCAAATAGAAATTATTTTTACAATTGAACCACTTTTATTTCACTGCAGAAATAACTCTGAAGAGAAAATGGGTTTTCCCCTGCTCAGCCTTTTGTTTAAACATACATAACACTAGTATTGATAATTAGCGAACTAGCAGAAAATTGAGAAATGAGTTAATACAGTCCTCCTCTGAAAATTGACATCTTTTTAGATGGTGTGCACATTACAAATTTTTGCCATATTTGAACATGACTGAATAGAATGGGGTTAGATAACATGATGCTCACCACACATTAGACTGTATTCACTAGGAGAAAGTGTTTTTTAACGTTTGGTGGAATTTTACTATAGGCAAGGCAAGTTGTACTTTTAACATCTTACAGGGTGGAGATAAAGCCTAGGAGGTAGACTAGAGTTTACTTAGATGAACTCATACGGGAACACCTTGTATTCATAATCTGGAAGTGGTCTCAGTAATCAGCATAGATTAGTATGAATCATGGTAAGCATGTGGCTCAGTGTGATTAAGCCCAGATCCAGATTGCATACGCAGTGGAACCAGGAATTTTAGGTGCTTGCTTTCCTGATTAAAATTGTTAGTTGTAGGGTTTTTTTAATTCCTGTTACCATTGCAGTCAGTATAACTATAGGAGAATGAGCTGGATTCCATTTTGGCTCAGCAAAACTAGTTATCTTAATTCTAGTAGAATACTTACCCGTGAGCCAGAAAATAAGACAGCTTGACTTTGAGATTCTGTTTAATTTTTTAAAAAGTTATATATAAAGAACATTTGATCTGGAAGTCTGAAAGACACAAATATAGGACATCCCCTTGTCATTTTTCCCAACCAAATCACTTTTCAGAACAGCGTCACACCTCAAATTTGGTTCTGAATTTATTATATGTAAAGTTGAAAGTTTTCTGCAGTATGTGACACACTGTTTGAGAGGACATTTTATTCTGCCATTATAAAAGGAAGGAACTCACTGTGATCCTATCTCTAAGGGCTTTTTAAATGTTTTTTCCCCAGTAACACGTGCTGAGTGTACCTGGTCAACCAACGCTTACATGCAGCACTTATCCTTTTGCTCAATTAAATGTCAGCCCTGAAACCTGCAAGAGAAAACACATCTACACTTTAGAAATTAAACGGGGGGGTGGTAGAAAATTACACAATTTTCCTAAAAATTACTCACTTCATGCAACTATTTATAGAAAACAGGGGCATAACAAAGTTAAGGGAAATGTTACCAAATGTGCTATGTTCTGTGAGGTACAAGGTTTAAATATTAAGATTTGTACAGTTTTGATATTTCTTTTGTGCTATGTGTATGCAAACAATATGATCATAATAAAATTGTAGTGCTTCTTGTGGAACCTTCATTATAGTAAGCTTCTTCTAACATTACATAAATCTAACTTCAAGTGTGTTTGCTGTCTTTTGTCTGAACCCTCATTAGAACAAGGCCATTAGACAAGGCACAGTTCATTCCTTCAAATTTATTTGTACAGAACTAAAAAATTCTTAATATGGATCAGTCTTCATGTCAGATGAGTCATACCTCTGTGAAGATTATAATTAATTAAAGCAAAGAACTGCAGAATCTACTGTGAAATGCAATTGATGAACGATAGGGCAAGCCAAAAAAACTAAACTGTATTAAAAGACAGTAATTCTTATACTATTACAACAGTGTATTATTAGACGTAGTGTGATATATACCCTACACCAGCTGTGGCCTTCAGTGTAGTAAGTGCTGTATGAACACTGACTAGCTCTCCCTACCCTAATGTTTATATTCTGTAAATCCTGTAATGTAATCCCAAAGAATTAAATGAATTTTAAATAGCAGAAATCTGGTAAAACTAAGAAAAATAGAGTCCTGAGGACTGTTTGAACTGTTTATGCAGCGCTGCTTGGTCAGGTGTAACTTACCAGGGGATTGTGCAAGTCTGACAAAGTGGGGTAGGGGGAGCAATGATCATGGCTTTGTAGGAGTGTTTCAAAGCAAAGGCAACAATATGTAAACTTTACCCCACTACAGAAGTGGTCGATGGCTACTTACCTGAAATAAACTCTCCTGTATGGCAGAAGAGGGAAAGTGTGACTGGCACTGAGTGGCACAGCTGAAACTGTGCCCCTTGGCCATGGAAGTGGGAAGCCTCTTCCTCCTCTTAAAGTGGTTGGTAGATTAATATGCATTTCATGTGGAGGTGAGAGCTTCCTAGGGCTAATTCTGCAACCTCTAGGCTGGGCCCATGGCCGGGGGAGCTTCCCCCCACCCCGGTTGAGACCAGGGCTCGGGAAAACCAGGTGCGTATCTCAAGCCAACAGCGCCCGCCGGCTGCTGTCGGCGCCCAGGAGGAGCCTTCCTGTCAGCAGCAGATGCTGAGGAGCAAAGGAGCGCCGAGGGCCCGTGGGGCGAGGTGGAGCCGCGGCCGGTGAGTGTCCCTGGCGGCTGGGGCACGCGGGCTTCCCTCAGGCTCCCTGCTTCGCGCACCTGGGCGGCCAGGTAAAGCCGGGGAGGGGCCTGTGCGCAGGCGCAGTGCGGGCCCCGGCCCCAGCCCCTGGAGCTCACCTGGACGCCGCCGCTGGAGAGGCGCGCTGAGGAGAGCCCGGCCGCCTGTTCCACGTATTCCCGCCCCACTAGGTGAGCTGTCCCCGCCGCTGGCGGTGTTGGACGCCGACGCCGACCCTTTGGGTCGGGGAGGGGGGAGCTATTCAGGGCGCGGTGCGAGGACCCCAGGGCCGGTAAGTTGGGGCGCCTCGTCCCTTAGGAGCCCTGTTGAGGCGGCCGCTACTGCTCCACCGTCCCGGCCCGTGTGGTAGCGGCTGGTTCCCGGGCCGTGGCCCCCCGCTTGCGTGCTGGCAGGGCCTAGCCCAATCTCCTCAGGGCGGGGTGGTGGCCGCAGCTCCCCGGTAACTGTCCCGTGCGAGGCGGACAAACAGGAGCGCCGTGGGTATCTCACCCCGCCCGGGGACGGACCCCCACCCCCGGTCCTCTGCGAAAAGCTCCAGCGCAGCCCCCGGCAGCTCAGCCCCGCTCTGTGTCTAGCGGCTGGGTGCGTCTGCCCGCTCCCGGGGAGGCGCAAAGCCAAGCGGCTGCTGAAGGCTGCTTAGAAAGTAGAAGCGAGCTGCTGCTGCTGTGTGACGAAGGGCAAACAAGTCTCCAGGAAACGCTAGTTGTTATCCGGACCGCTTCTCAAACAGACCTGTTGACTAAAGGAGGCGTATCCTGGTTGGGTTGGCTAGTCTCATGACTCAGTTAAGGTGCTGCCGGCAACTTGTTTGCTCCTCAATATAATGCTGCCCCTTTCTAATCTTAAGTGGCTTGTCAGAGTTTAGAGCCCTGGGGAAACCAATGGCTCCAAATCAGACACATGTGTTGGGGGGGGGGATGTAAATTATCGTCCCTGCCCATCCACACAAGCTGTTCTGGTCTGGGACCTTGTGTCTGTCTCCACTAGGAGTCTTCCCTCTTTCTTATCCACACAGTGCATGAGCCAGTGGCACCAGGAGTAGAGTTCTTGGCAGACTAGGCTGTGCTGTACAGGAACAGATTCCCTGTGTACCAAGTTGCAATGCTACTCTAGCTGGCAGCAGGCCAAATTTGAGTGGTGTGACCCGGTCCACAGGGCCACTCCCTGAAATTTGGCCTGGCCATTCCATCTGGAGTGACAGCCAGATCAGATTTCAGTACTGGTGTGATTATACAGCTGGAGGAACGCTTCAAGACCTCTCTGACAGAAGCCATACTGATTTAGTATGGCAGCACTGCTTAAAAGAGGTCAGATCATGACCCTTTTATCTCTGTAGTATAGACCAAGAAACCTTTGGTGAGGGGAGGGAGCATTTGCCCTTTCTCTCCCACCCGCAGTTGGTGCCACTGCTGTGGATGTTCCAGTTGGAAGTAGAAGTGGGTGGAGTCTTCTTGTTTTATGCAGTCTTGTTTATTTACAAGGAATGTACAAAGTCCTGCTTCTGTGAATGCAGGAGGAAAAAACTTGATTTAGTTGCAGATTGGTCCTGTTTTGAGCAGGTGGTTGGACTAGATGACCTCCTGAGGTCCCTTCCAACCCTGATATTCTATGAAAGAACAAAACGTCCAGTTTCTTAGCTTACAGCATCAAGCCTCTTTAGCCAACTTTAGACCCAGAGAACTTGCTATCTAGCTTTTTCTAGGGTCATGCTGTGCTCAGAAGCTAATGCTTGATTTTCTTGCCTTTTGCCTCTGCCTCTTTATTCTTGTCTGTTCTCAGTTTCTCTCTGTTCTGCTAATTTTTTCTCTCTCTCTCCAACACACACTTATCCAAAACAATACTCAGCAAAGCCCCTCCTCCAAAACATTCCAAAACTTCTGGATGGATTATATAAGAATGTCCATACTGAGTCAGACCCATGGTCCATCTTATCTTCAGAGAGTGACCAGTGCAAGATGCTTCAGAGCTGGTCTATGCTGAAAACTTACATCAGCACAGCTGTGTCTCTCACAGCTGTGGAATTTTCACACCACTGACTTCAGGTCTTCACTACCCGCTGGGTCGGCGGGTAGTGATCGATCCCCGAACGCGCTCCCCATCAACTCCGGAACTCCAGCTCGCCAGAGGTGGAAGCGGAGTCGACGGGGGAGCGGTGGTGGTTGACTCGCCACTGCCATCCTCACAGCCAGGTAAGTCGACCTAAGATACGCCAACTTCAGCTACGCTATTCGCTAGGACCCCTGCCCACGCAGCGTAGACCAGGGCTGACAGATGCCAAAGTAACCCAGGTTGACCTATCTACCATGTCTCCGGGAGATAGATAAAAGCTTGATCTATACTACAAAATTAAGTTGGCTTGACTCCGGTCAGCATAGGTAGTGAACCGCTGCTGTGGCACAGCTGTGCTGCTAAAGCGTTAAGTGTAGCTATAACCTAACTACGGTGAAGGGAGAACTTCTGTCACTATAGTGAATGTCTACACTGAAGCACTGCTGCAGCTGTACCACTAGCAATTTGAGTGTAGACATAACCTCAGAAGGAATGAACAGATGAGGGCATTCACATGATCCCTTTGCCATAGGTAGGTTAATATATCCTTACAGTTGTGTTAATTGACATCCATCTAACTTGACCCATAAAAAGGCTTTACGCAGCTCATAACAGTAACAACACTCTGTCTTTATAACAAGATAGTGTTCAGTGCATCATTTAATCAGCTCCCTCTCACTATCTTTATATAATTCACGTCTGATTTATATTCGGGGGGAGGGACAAAAATTGGAGATTGGCCCTGCTTTGAGCAAGGGGTTGGACTAGATGATCTCCTGAGGTCCCTTCCAACCCTGATATTCTATGATTTGTTTCTTAAAAACCTGTTATTGAATTATGTTTCCCTCTCTGAAGCCTCATTTATACTCTTAAGACCCTGGACAAAGGAGTTTTATGATTTATCAAGTTTTCTCTTGAGTCTTCGATAGGTGGCCTTCAGAGTTGATTTGGTTTATAAAAATTGTAGTTATGAGGTAAACTTAGAAGTCCACACAATTGAAACTCCCAGGCTACAAATTTTTGTTGTAAACATTTTGTATAAGTATAATCAAAATCATTACATGTTTTTACAAATATTTTATTAAAATGAAAAATGATTATTTTAACATACCTGCGGTATCAAACATGTGAAACCCACAGTATAGTATTTAAAGTTATCTACATGGCTCCTAATATATTTATGGTATTTTGCACAGTAGTCTTCTGACACTAAATAACAGCATTTGTTCCATGTTTTAGTTTTAATGTTACCTATATTACCTTAAAAGTATTGCATCAGTTAGAAAAGAATTTACTTTAAAATATCCTTTGGATTATGTCTAGTTACTTTAGGCCAAATGTGTAATTGATTTATTGAGTTATCTAGGTTAGTGCAACCTCCCTAATTGCCATGGCACCTGTCACCGTGCTCTCTATGGCCACAATCCTACAAAGGGTTCAGTGAAGGCCCAAACAGACAGACTAAGGTGGGGGAAGTACAGGACTGGATGAAACACAATAATTGAAATATGTGTTTTGAGATTTGGTATCTGTTGTTTAGTTTCAGGATTTAAAAAATCTCTCTCTCTCTCTCTCTCTCAATGCTAACGTCATAGCTAGGCTGCAAGTCTGTCACAGAGGTCACAGAAGTTACGGATTCCATGACTTTCCGGGACCTCCATGACTGCTGGTGCAACTGACCCGGGGGCCACTCAAGCTGCTCAGGCAGCCCCTGGGACAGCAGCACCGACAGCTGCTGGGGCAGCCTTGGGCAACTGCTCTCCCCCCAGCCCTCATAGCAGTAGCAGGAGTTTGGGTGTGGGAGGGGGTGAGGGCTCGGGGCAGTGCTTACCTCAAGGGACTCCCCAGAAGCGGCAACATGTCTGTCCCTCCCTCCCTAGGGCTCCTAGGCAGAGGTGCAGACGGGCAGTGCTTACCTCAAGGGACTCCCCGGAAGCAGCAACATGTCTGTCCCTCCCTCCCTAGGGCTCCTAGGCAGAGGTGCAGACAGCCAGGCAGCTCTGTGCACTGCCTTCACCTGCAGGCACTGCCCCCGCAGCTCCCATTGGCTATGGTTCCCGGCCAATGGGAGCTGCAGAGCAGGCAGTCAGGGTGGGGGCAGCGTGTGGAGCCCCCCTGGCCATGCCTCCATCAAGGGGCCACAGGGCCATGCCGGCCGCTTCCAGGAGCTAGGCAGGGAGCCCAGGCCACATGCTGCCACCCATGCGCTCCCCCACCCCCAGCAGCAGCGGGGGTCCCCAAGCCACGTGCCGCCTCCCCAGAGCGCCCATGGACAGGTCATGGGCTGTGTCCTTGACTTTTACTAAAAATACCCGTGACTAAAACATAGCCTTAATCATAGTATCTGCCTTGCCTGTTCTTTGTTCTGGACATGGTGGCTGGAAGTGGAAAACTAATGGCATTACTCATTTTGTGCTGCTACAGTTGAATTCTTTGAGGTTCTGAACATCTTGGGAGTTGAGTGTGCTCAGCAGTCTTCACTTTGCAGGATCAAACCCTTACTGATGCTGTACTTCTTCGAGTGCTTGCTCATGTCGATTCCATTCTAAGTGTGTGCGTGCCCACATGCACAGTTGTTAGAGACTTTTGCCTTGGCAGTATCTGTAGGATCGGTTGCGGCGCCCCCTTGAGTGCCACACTCATGCATCAATATATTAAGGCCGCTGATCTGGTTCATTCTTACCGCCCGGGACGGTTGGTTGAAGTGCCTTATCTTGTATTGCAAGAGCATTAGCGGTTCTTACAGTCCATTGTTCTGTCTCCTTTGTGTTTAGTTGATAGGTGCTGATCTAGACTATTAAGTTAAGTGCAGGGTGGATAAAAATCAATTATTTAAAAAAAATTTTAAAAAATTGGATTTTTATTTAAATTGGATTTTTTTGATAAAATGCTTTTTGTTTTGAGGAAAAAACCTATCTAAAGATAGTTTTAATTAAGATACATTATAGCTCAAAGGTATCTCATCATGGAATAGGGATTATAAATTCTAATTCTATAGTATGACACAATATATTCATGGAATCTGTAAGAAAAGTTTTGTAAATGAGTTCCAATAGTTCATGGATTAGGGACCCAATCTTATGGGGTTCCAGGGGCTTCTGTATAGATTATTTAGGTTAAT